ATTTTTGTCACTGGAGAAAAACAGGCACTTTCAGAGTGCAGTCAAGCTCATTCAGAGGTAGGTGTTTAGATAAGTCATGTGAAATACCGGTTACAATGGGAAGGCTAAGGGGGATTTCATTATTTATCTTGTCTAGCTTTTCATGTCTGTGATGCTCAGCATTAGATGCTCTTGTCAGAAAAAACCTAAAGTCACTGAGTATGAAAACAATTGTCCTTGAAGAGTTTCTTCTTTTTAATTTTGCCATGATAAAGGTGTCTCAGTCCAAAGAGAGAAGCTCCAGCCATGAACAGACCTGCGTGAATGACCAACTGAAAACTGGGGAGACATCATTTCTTAGTGAAATAGACTCTTTGTTCTGGCTGTGTTTTCCATGCAAACATGATAATTTTGTCAGGAAAGGAAGGAGATGAGAAGATTTTAGTCACTTTTTATCCCTTTGGAAACTAAATCTTGCTGATTTATTTGGAAAACAAAACCAAACATCTCAGACCTCCAGTTTTTTAATGAAAAAATATTAATACTAATGTTACTGAGCTACCTAATGTAGTTGAAGATGTCCCTGGTCATTGCAGGGGAGTTGGACTAGATGACCTTTAAAGATCCCTTCCAACCCAAACCATTCTATGACTCTTTGATAATGTTATCTAAACTCTACCTGAATAGAGCTTAAAATGCCTTTTATGTTGGATACCATGTAATTAATTGGTACTACCACACAGTTAATTAACCATCAGTTAATACCATACAGTTAATTGATAATAACAAAATTATACTACTTTTTTATAATAAGATTGTTAGTCCCCACAGATATCTTTTTAAGGTTGCACATGAACCAAGTATACAACTAAATAATTTCTAGCAGACTTTTCAAGAAAGAATCTCAATAATCATTTTAGAAACCACAGAATAACTTGCTGTTAAACCCTAGCTCATTTTAAAATGACGTTTTACTCAATATGATTAGATTGAGGTGAAAGGCACTTACCACTTGTCCAGGAAGAAGTGAAGAGAAATGACCAGAGGAGCCCTGAATCCTTTGAGTTTTATATGCTTTCATGAACTTCCAGGAGGATGAGACAACTTTTTTGCATGAGGTCTTAATTACTTTCCAAACAATTTTTCCCGCATGTGTAACACTTATAATTACTGTAATTATTTTAACATTGTTTACCAACATTATTCAATTTTCTATGGTACATACTGTTACATACTGTGGGATTCCCTTTGTATTATATTTTTATGGTGGAACTTAATTGCTGATGTGATTCTACCACTTCTGTCTGTATTAACCTGGGGATGCAGCTCACTCCAGTTTGTTCAGTTTTGACTTAAACATTGACCATGTGAGCAGCGTTTTGCAGACGGCAGCTGATGTAGCAGCCATATTGGCCATGTCTGCTGCTAAGTGTGGGATTTTAATTCACTCCCTTAAATCCACCGTAACATTTAATTGGAGGCACCGTGGGGTTCATCACTATAAGTGGCTTGGAGAAGGGAGGAGTGGAGAACAGAATTTTGCAGTCTGCCCACACCCCAATTTTGACCACAGTGAAAGTGATTTGGTTATTTGCTTCCCATCCTTTGTCCCACTGTCTGTCATCACAGCTTCAGCTGGAGGACATCATTCTGCGTGGGGATCCCCACTCATGCCCTGGGTCCTGACCAGCTGCCAAGTGTCTGGCTCCAATCACCATACATGATCAGAAGGCGAAGAAGCATAACCTCTGAAAGATGCCAACTTACGGAAGAGACGGCTGGAAGGAGATAAGGTAATCATTTCTACAGATAAAAGATACCAAGGTGAAAGAATTTAGCTGCTATTTACACCTGCTGAGAACAGGAGAAATAGTCATGGGCTAAAAGTGCATCAAGGGAGACTTAAGTATGGGGAAAAATTTTTAATCACTTGGCTACTGATGGAAAGCTATTGTTGAATTTTGTGGAGCCTCACCGATTTCCCAAGGATCCAGGTAAATTCTCAGAGTTAAGGGCCACATGTTCAACTCTCACAGGGTTAGCCAAAGATGCCTTTTAGCCCGTTTCAAAATGATTGGTTTTTAATGCAAACAGAAATGCATTATTTAATGAAAATACAGAACACCTTGTGTTGTCGGGACTCGAAAAAAGCCATCCTGTTCATGAGAACAACTAAGACAGTTCCATCAAAAAAATATATATTCTAAAGTTGCTATTAGCCCTGAGGTGTTTGTCTGAGATAACATACTATTAGTATTATAACGATAAAACGTTTTGCATGCATAAACCAGTAATTAATATTTTCGAAATGTTTTGACATTCCCTGTTGTGTGGAAACCTCACCTCACTAGTCCCTAACTGTCAGGATTATTTTCCCTGTCCTCTCACAAAAGACAATGAAAAGTTCACACAAAGTTATCCAAAAAGCCAGGACCCAGATTCATAGCTCATGATGGAGGCTAATCACATTGAGCTATATTACTAGAAATTGCTGGCAATTTATGTTAAAAATTGTGTTTAATATTCCTTAACAATTTCAGGTAGCTTATGGATCTCTTGGTGACTTCTGAACCAATTTATGATCATACCCTTCTTCCTGAAAAATTAAAAAAGTGTCTGGAAAAATGGAAATTCCTGTTTCTATGCCACTTTACCTGCAGAGCATCCAAATACCCCAAACTGGAAACTCATTTTCACCTCCCAGTCTTCCTTGTTGGAAGAAAAGACAGCAAGGTTGCCATTTAATTTCTAAAAGTTATGCTGCCTTCTGCAAAAAATCACCTTTGGGAATGGAAGTAGAAACACAATCCTAGACACCTTACACTTCTTGGTAATGTGGGAAATGTAGAGCTTGTCCAGCTGAGGGATCCTGCACTAGAACAGCTTCGGACAACAGTCTCATGGAAAGGCTGTGCAAAGTAAGCCCAAAAAAGAAAAAAAAAAAAAAAAAAACACTTTGTAGCCCACCCTGTCACTGTCCACCTCAGAGTGGAGCCCACCTTTGCTCTAAACATTCACTAGGTGGGTGAAGGTAGTAATAAACTGTCCTTTCAGTGTTTTCTTCTCCCGGATAAACATACCCAGCTCTCCCAGCCTCTCGCTTCACTCCTGGCTGTTCACGGCTTTTGTGCTGAGCACCCAAACCAGACATTGGAGGTCTGGATGTGGCCTCCTGGATGCTGATGGGAGGGGAATCAACACTTTTCTCCCGCCGCTGGCTGTGCTCTGGCTTAGGCAGCCCAGCCTGCAGTCGGCTGTCACCGCCACAAGGATGCAGCACTGTCTCATGTCAACTTTTGGGCCACCAGGTCCCTTTTTTGCAGCACTCAGCTCTCCAGAAACAGATCCCACCTACTAATCCATTTGACGAGGGAGAGCAGGTTCTGCTGCCAGAGCAGGTAGCAGGAGGAGAGCGGGAACAAGAGAGCGTAAAAATCTTCCTCATGCAGAGAGTCAGTAAAACTTTGGGCACCATTTAGTTGCTTTGAGATATCAGATTTTTATATTATCATGTCAGTGTAACCTTTTTATCAGGAGCAAAACCAGAAACAGAAGCTCAGCTTTTTGAAAGGAAACCCTTCTCTGCTGATCAGTGCCATCTTCCCCATGCTAACTGAAAGGGAGACTGGATACTTTTGGGGACCAAGAGAGACTGAGATCAGCAGAGCTTTTTAAACCATGCAGGTGGGAGAAATGCAGGTGGGAGAGCTTCTCCTGGGCCTGGGCTGTGCCAACCTTATTCTTAATTGTGAACCTCCATCTCCCTCTAATGGCACCTGCCAGCCTCAACACCTGTCCTGAGCATGCCTGGCTTAAGCGAGGATAGAGAGGAAGAACCAGGTTTTTAATAGACCTGGTATAAGAAAGGGATTGATCCCATGTCAGGTAGTCAGGAGGGTCTTAGCAGATCGGGCCTTTCCTCTCTTTTTCATTTAATTGCCCAGGGTGATTTGCCAGAAGTAAAAATTAATTTTCTCTCCCCTGGGGGAACAAGACTCCTCCTAACCCTGAAGAACTGCTGGTAGCATCAGTCTCTGTTTTTACAGGCAAATCTATCAGTTTATTTAAAAAAGGCATCTACATAAATCCCGCTTGGTCTGTTTGGTGTGCTGTGGAAGAAGCCAACGGGATAGGAGGCAGTTTTCCTGCTGGGATTTCCCCAGGAAGCTGCCTGAGCTGAGCCAGGCAGCAAAGCAGTGATGGGAGGAGCTGCTGGGTCTCTTGCTGCACCTTTAGATGGTGGCCGAGAGCTTCTGCTTCCCTGGGAGAGACTGTGGTGTAGGGCAGGTGTGCAAAAGCACGTGCTTTGGGACTTTGCTCTTGTATATATACGCACCAGGAAATCAAAATATTGACCAAGCATGATAATTATTTCCTGCTGTCTATGAAAATGTTATTGTCAAGGAACAGCTGGACGTGAAAGTTAGTTTTCCCTCTGGTTATACTTTTATAACCACAGACTATCGATGCTGATTACCTGTCCGATGCAGACAGGGCCATCTCAGGGTCGCAGCACTAGAAGAGACCTTCTGCAGCATCCTCTCTCCCTCCTGCTATGTCAGGGTCTATCCCACACAACCCAGTTCATAATCTGCTCAGCAGTGGTTTGTCCAGGGACAAAACTGCAAAGCAGGGGGTGCCTGGGGGAAGCTTGCCCTGGTCCCACGTTGCAGGACTGAAAGCTCCTCTGTGTGACCCGTGCAGATGGGGTGCGCTCCCCTACAACACTGGTGAGCTAAGCCTGGAGTAAACTCCTGTCTGAGGGCTGCTAATGAGTCTCTTTACTTCAGTCAAGCCTTCTTCTAAATACCACCCTGTTCTGCTTCTTTTAATATGTCTCTGGGTAATCTTTCAACACTGAGATGTTGCCACAGATGGTAAATCTTTTTAGTCCTAAAAGCATGATTACTGCCATTATTTTACACAAAGGAGTGGTGTAACAACAGGGAATAATTTTGTCCAGTAGTAGGTATTAGAAACAGGTTCTTAGAATGGAAAATAAATCAGACAGAGAGCAAGGATCCACCTACAACCTGAGTTTAATATGACTGGTACAACCGGCGAATATGATTGATCCAGCAACAGTAAAAACCTCTCGGTGTGTGCACACTGTAACAGAGTTTTATCGGTTTGAAGTTCAAAGCCTGAGCACCTGCTCAGAGTTACTTAACTTCTCACTAACAGTTCTTCTGTTGCAGGAATATGTGAAGTGTGGTCACAAAAGGAAGGCAACGCACTCTACGAGTTTAACATGGATACAATAAGGGGTAGAATAAGGCCAAAGCTTCTCTGGGGGATAAGAATGGGAACAGGGGGAGAAAAATAACCTCACACCTCAGCTACGTAGCTTGCTGTTTACACAACTACTCCTTTAATTCTTTTACCACAGCCATTTTGAACCACAACGACTCTTCTTGGAGTGGCTCGAACGTTTCGCCCCACCTGCGTGATGCTGCATCGAGTGCTGGGTGGCCCGTGGGTAGAGGCACTTGGACTTGCTCAGGTGTTGTGTCGATGAGCTCTTGTGCTTGGCTCCCTCCTGCGGCAGCGAGCATTTGACTGCGTGTTGGTGCAAGGAGCACTCCTTTGCTCCCTGCCCAGGGGGGCACTTGGGCACGGGTGGCTGCGGCAGGGACTTGGTTACACACTGCTGCGAGGAGTAGGTGGTGACGCACTCCTGCGTCGGGTAGCCCTTCATGCATTTCTGGTGGGGGAACCCGCTCACGTACTCCTGAGTTACACACTGCTGCGGGGGGCACTCAGTGACTCCCCGCAAAGGTGGGGAGTAGCCACTGGTCATCCCCTGCATGGACTGGAGCTCCGCGCCGTACCGCTGCGACGAGCATTTGGAGATCTTCTGCGACCTGCATTCGTCTTTGCATGAGGCCGAGTACTTGATCCCACACGGTGGGAACTTGAGTTTGCCTGGTTCTGGGCACCTGGGTGCACATGGTGGAAGGCTCTTGGCTACACGCTTTTTCTCAGGGTGGTTAGTCTCACAGGGCTGGAAACTCTGCATTGTGCTCAGCTTCAGGCTGGGCTTCCTGCAGGGCAGAAGGCGAGTGGTCTCGCAAGGCTCAGGGTACAGCAGGACACACTGCTGTACGTAGGGCTGACAAGACAACAGGGATGTCTGGCTCACGCTTGGCTGTGGGCACACGTAAGTGAAAGGTTGCGTGCAGCTTTGCCATCTTGGCATCGGGCTCTTGATCACGCTCACCGGGTAGCACGTGGTGCTGCACGCATTGGCCTGGGGTGTGCACTGCTGGATGCTTTCAGTGATATAGCCTGATCCCGGCAGGTACAGGTGTTTATACCGGTCCCCATAGTAGTGCATGGTCATGCAAGGTGCTTATGTCTGAAAGAAGCAGGAAGAAGACAGACAGTTCAATAGGCATTGGCTATTTTTTATGATGCAGCACTTGGAGTTTCCCCACAGGCATCTCAACATAGTAAGCCCACACATTAGCTCTCCCCAAGGTCAGAGGCTCTCAGTGACTCAAGACCAAGATGTGATTACTGAGGTGAGGAGAGGAGAGGCTGCTCTCAGCCCGTGCCCCCACACCCTTCTCTTAAGAGCCCAGAAACAATCAGGGATTTGAGCCAGACGAACTGAGGAGTTTTCATGCCGCCTTTCAAAGACCAGCTAAGTGTCCATCAAAACATTTCACCGAGCAGAAGTGACATTATGACCCTCCGTTTTACTTCCGGGAAATCTCCTGTGTCCCTACTGGGACATCCTTTCAAGTTTATGTCCTCCCAACTCCCAAGCACCAGAGATGAAAGGCAAGCCAAAATTAAAGGTGTGTCCATGCTGTAATACTCAGGTGTGGCTGCAGTTCATGCAGGCAAACCCAAACTGAGGTTAAATTAGCTAGCTGAGGGTAAGGATAGTTTTGTGGCAGCACGGAGCTCAGCACGTACGACCTGTCTGCCTGCCGAGTCACGGTCCCACAGGGGTCTGCTGGGCTGGCAGCGTGCAATTACAGGCTCTGAGCTTGCTATCGTAGCGTCAGCTTTGCTGCCTCTGCAAGCCTTGCAGTCCTGGCTCAGTACTGCTGTGTAGGCATCTTCAAGCAAAATAAAGAGGAAATACAACAGGATTGTTTCCAAATATTTGGTGAAACCATAGCAGAAAGGAGAAGTTATCAAGGCAAAATCTCAGCTGGTCTTAACTGGTCAAGTTTCGCTAACTTGAAAGAATTACATCCATTTAAATCAGCCTCCTGTCCTGCACTACAGTCATAGCAAGCTGTAGTGTCCTGGTTTTGTTATGGTAACCTGAAAACCCACTGTCAAAATGCCTGGCATAGCGGCTCTGACAGTGAAACCTCATCCTGGCAGCCCCTCTGTGAGCAGCACAAAGGGGAGACTAACTGAGACACCATCCCTGGGGGAGGGACATGGTGGCACCACCCACGGGTCCACACTTGCCTCCTGAAATCACTGTGAAATGTTGAATTGAAATGAATCTCACTTTGCCTTGGCCCTTGGAGTCGTGGGAGAAACCATCCCACTTCATTCCTTACTCCGGAAAGCAACAGTTTCAGGGAGTTTTCTGAGTTTTTAACAAACAGGTTTATTTTGAGCATGACAGAGCGAAGCGCTGACATGTGAAAGGTACTCTGATAGAAAATTTTTCTTTCATTTCAACATTGTTTGGAGGTTAAGTCATATCACTAAGCAACTATAAAGAAGCTGCATTTTCTGAACACCCCTAGTTCTGTCTATAATTACAGTAAGATGTTTTATCTTCCAAAAACCTATCACTGGCTGACTATCAGCAATAATAATGCTGTGTGTTACTATCATTAGGAAAACTTATCGTCACTACAATTACAATAATCTATGACTAATAAAAGCAACCCGTTGAAAAACAATGATAGCAATTTCTACTACCACGTGTACAATGTTAAAGTATCTGGTGATGCTCATCAGGATTAAAAGTTTCTAAAGTAGGGGTAACTATTTGCTTCCAAGGGGTTGTTTGCATCTCAGACTTATTTTTATAATTGTTAGCCTAGCTAGAAATTGTAACACGTTCAGCTTTAGCTACAGAGTCTCTCTGCTGACTTTCACATTGGCATTGAAGTTGGCCAACTTCTTCCTATTATCTGAAAAGTTGCTTTGTTTAAATTCCATAAAATGGCAGCAAATTTCTCCATGCCACTTCCTTCAGAGGAGATGCCTTCTTGCGTGCAAGCTCATATCTGACTCCTGCCAACATCGAGCCCTTTATGTAGTCAACAGCCTCCTTCGGTCTAGAACTAACAGAAAGCATAGAAAAGCCCACAAATCCCACTCCTGACATGATAGTCCATCTGGAATTGCTTTCCCAATATTCTTCAGCTTATCATGGAAGAGATGCTCCAGCTGTTAGAGCCGCACACGCCGGTGCTGAAGGCAGCATCCCCCAGAGGATGCTTCTCCGCGAGCACACAGGCAGGACCTCTGCCTGCTCCGGCCACCCAGGAATAAAACAGCATTTCAGGATCTCCATTAAAAGCCAGACTTACCCACTTCATCAGTGACAACAACCGGAGAGAAGTGCCTAGGAGAGCCCCGCGATGGCAGAGCTTTTATACAGTGAATAAGTGCCCTAGGGGAGTGAGGCGGTTTGGCTGGGTGATGCTCTAATTGCCTGCCAGTCCTGGCCGAGCCACGTGCAGCTTCGTGCCGGCGGGAATGGCTGGCTGGCCTCGCTCTGCGGGGCTGCCATCACTGCCTGGGACATCTGGGTTACTGTGAGCATTGTGAGGGGGGCACCTCCTGATCCAACGCGCTGAACCAGTGAAGCCCCTGGTAGGCCAAGGACACCCTGTGCAGGGGCTGCTGGTGGCCCTCATGCTACGAATCCCCATGAGCGATGCCAAAGTGTCCCTGCCTGACCATTGCAAATCCAGATCTGCTAAAACGCATTTTTCCGCCCAGAAGAAGATTGCGGTTGAGACCACCAAAGGGACTGCTCAAGGGACTCCTCGTTTCCATGGGTGCTGCATGTATAAGTCCTTCCAGTGCCTTTGAAAACACAGTCCAGGAAGAACTCTCGACGACTTTTTGCAGACCATAATTACTGTGGCACGCAGACTTCCTTCACTTACACAAGGAACCCAGGGAAGAGATGGATGATTGGGACTGAGAAAGCCTCTGGGCTAAGGGCAAGACGGCTACTAAAAAGAACATGCCATGAAGTGAATAACCTGCTGAAAGAGGTGACGCTTTTCCGGGACAACAAAGAGGAGAAGGGGCAAGGAGTGCTGGGGCGGCCCGGGGAAAAGTTCCTGAATCAAACCAGGCTCATGTCCTGAAAACACAGATCGCATTTCCTGCTCTGCTGCACAGTCTCTGCACCAGTCATCCCTCCTTTTGTTCCCTGTTTATGCCACAAATAATCCCAAGGAAAAATTAACAGTGTCATGAGCATAAGTGCCGACAGGGAATGCATTTTTATGTAGTCATGTCTGCATAAGTGAAGGCCCTGGCATTTTTTTTTTTTTCCTTTAATGTGAATCTGATACCTATGTATTGGATTCCAGCATGCTGGGAATTAAGGTGAGGTCCCACACATTGAAATAAAAAGAAGTGAAGTAAGTTGACTCTCAATGAAGTAGGTGGAAAAATTCTCACTGATATGAAGCTGGGTGACCATCCCTGGAGGTATTTAAAAGACATGTGGACAAGGCACTTAGAACATGGTTTACTGGTGGACTTGGCAGTGTTACACTTATGGTTGGACTCAATGATCTTAAGGGTCTTTTCTAACCTAAATGATTCTATGATTCTGTGATTTGAAGCAGAATATTGATCTCTGGCTTATGAACCACTGAATAAATTTTCTATTTCTGTTTTCATCAGAAGATTCATAAGCCTGAAGGTAGGCTTGTTATTTACATTTCTGATTTCCCAACAAGAAAGCCTCCCTCAGTATCATAGAAAAAAATACAGACAAAGTGCATGTTTTCCTAGTTGATGTCAACATTTTGAGAGCTACAAAAACCAAATGGGAGAATGTTTTCTTTAGGCTTATCTTATTTTCCACAGCTGAAGACAAAAGCACTGAATCCAACCTGGATTTCTCTAACTTTAATTGCATTTCACTCCCTTGAACCACAATGCCCATTTTGATGTTAAATGATCTGACCCAAGGTTTTAAGAATCAAGCTGGCGTCAGGGACCGGGTAAGTAGATTAACACAATTCTTATAAGCTCCATAAATCCACTTCCCAGGCAAGCTCCAGACCAAACAGCCTTCAAGTAATGCTAATATTCAGTTTAGTGTTTCCAGTGCAGGTAGCAAAATATTAACCCGATGATAACATCGTGCCCTGTCATCCAAATGTTCTTAATTAGCATCTGTAAAGTCCTTTCATCTCGGAGAGACGCACAGGGCCACATGGGACATTGTTGTGGGGGTTATTATTATTCCCAATTAATCACAGGGGAAACTGAGGCACATTGCACTGCGGTCACTTGGCGGTGCAGCATGAGTCAGAGCCAGGGTCAGAACAAGACTCCGTCGCAACCACCTCCACAACAAGCCCCATGCTCTGGCAACCACTCCACCTCTGTGAGATGAGGTCCTACACCACCCAGCCACCCACCACCCAGGAAGATTTTTCCTAACGATCCCTTGGGCTCTGGCTCATATGGGAAAGCCACAAGGATCTGACAGCTCCTGAGAAGGCCAACACCATGGCTCAGTTCTTGGTTTTAAAGGCACAAAACGCTGGATTGTGAGAGCATCGCTGGCTCTGCAAGGTGGAAGGAAGACCACGGTCACTGCTGCTCTTGCACACTGCCTCTCTAGGCCGAATCGTCGTCACTGGACATTCAGGAGAAGGTGTGAAAAGGAGAAACTCTGCTCCCCCCATGATGCACGGAGCACCCTGGGGAAGCACCCAGATGCCACTTCAACATTGCTAGATGCTCAGGTCTTGGATACCTCCTTGCCTTCCGAGGGCAGCCCGCGGTGGCACCCAAGGTCACCGAGCAAGGGTGGAGCAGGGCAGGATGCGGGGCAGCGTCCCGGCCCTGGTCACACCCTCCTCTTTGCCTTGCAACACTTGTTTTTGCCCTCCAAATACGCATGAGCTGCTTAGCATGAGCTACTACTCATTTTCCTAATGATAGGGCATATTATAGGATTTTTGTATTTTTCAGGTAGGAGTTCACTATATTTAATAAAGAAGAACCACCAGAGGGCAAAAAGACAAGCTATTTAATCCGAGTTCAGACAACTGTATTTATTTTAGTGTATATATATATGTATAATATAAGTATACATATATATATATGGTTTGTTTTCAATACAGCGTAGAGTACACATCTTCAGGCAGCATAAAGAATATAGTTAATTGTTTTTATAGCTCAAACTTTTATAAAATAGTCGTGCTACAACTTTCAGTGTTGTTTCAAAGACTTTCTTTTGTTTCAAGTTGTGTTTTCAATATTAATTACAGCAACCAAGTGAATAAAAACTTACATGTATAAAATTTCAGCAAGGACAAACTTCAGTGAGCCAGAAATCCTGTCTTGTTTGAGGACTCTACTGAAGTCAGTGCAGAGTCAGTGTTTTAAAGCAGCGGGGATTTCTGGCCACCTTCTGAAATGAAGGCCATTGGAGTGAGATTTGTACACAGTTTGCTCAGCAAATTTACATTTGGCTTCCAAATCCATGAGTGAAAGCAGCTGGTTTGGACCACTCACAGCCTCGTGGAATCCAAGTTAACCTGAATATTGTCTTCCAAGGCCAGGACTAAACCCAGAGCCAGGCATGGGCGAGAGCTCCACTGGCCACACTGCCAGCCCTTTTGATGCTCTCATGACCTAGACTCCTTAGACATTTCTATTTCTTTTTTTAAATTTTTTTTTTTTTTAAATCACTATTCACTTCAATTAGGTGAGGATTTAACAACATCCCACTAATCTTTGCCTTGTAGCAGATTAACATACAAGCCACAGGCACCTGGAGCGCAGCAATGGAAATAGTATCACACCCTGGCCCAAAACGGAGCTGAGCTACAGGGGAAATACTGGAAAACAGAGATAAAGCAGACTTAAGCAATAGGAACTAGTTGGCAGGTGGTATGAGGAGCTAAGTAACCCCTGCCCCAAAGCTGTGCCTCGCTTTTTTTCCATGGACCTTCCTTTCCCCGGCTCCTTTTTACCAGGGCCATTTGGATGCAGAACAATACTTTTTAGAGTGACTTGAAATTTTTACTCCACCTGACTGACACTGCTGTGGGACACAGTTAGTGGCACACTGATGCTGTGGGACACACTTGGTGGCACACTGCTGCTGCGGGACACACTTAGTGGCACACTGCTGCTGTGGGACACACTTAGTGGCACACTGCTGCTGCGGGACACACTTAGTGGCACACTGCTGCTGTGGGACACACTTGGTGGCACACTGCTGCTGTGGGACACACTTGGTCACGCACTGCTGCTGTGGGACACACTTGGTGGCACACTGCTGCTGTGGGACACACTTGGTCACGCACTGCTGCTGCGGGACACACTTAGTGGCACACTGCTGCTGCGGGACACACTTGGTCACGCACTGCTGCTGTGGGACACACTTAGTGGCACACTGCTGCTGCGGGACACGCTTGGTGGCACACTGCTGCTGTGGGACACATTTAGTGGCACACTGCTGCTGTGGGACACTTTTGGTGGCACACTGCTGCTGCGGGACACACTTAGTGGCACACTGCTGCTGTGGGACACTTTTGGTCGCGCACTGCTGCTGTTGTGGGACACACTTAGTGGCACACTGCTGCTGTGGGACACTTTTGGTGGCACACTGCTGCTGTGGGACACACTTAGTGGCACACTGCTGCTGCATGACACACTTGGTCGTGCACTGCTGCTGTTGTGGGACACACTTAGTGGCACACTGCTGCTGTGGGACACTTTTGGTGGCACACTGCTGCTGCGGGACACACTTGGTCGCGCACTGCTGCTGTGGGACACTTTTGGTGGGACATTGCTGCTGTGGGACACATTTGGTGACACACTGCTGCTGTGGGCCATCAGCTGTCTCACACTGCTGTGGGACACAAATGGTAGCACACTTGGTAGCACACTGCTGTGGGACACACTTGGTCACACACCTGGTTGCACACTGCTGCGGGACGTACGTGGTGGCACACTGCTGCGGGGCACAGGAGGTCACAAAGCGGTGTGAGACAAACTTGGTGGCACGCTGCTGCGGGACACACGTGGTGACACACCTGGTGGGACACTGCTGCTGGGGGCTGTATGTGGTCACACACTGCTGCGGGACGCACTTGGTCGCACACTGCTCCTGTGGGATGCCTTTGGCCAGGTACGGCTGCTGTGGTACACATGTGGTCACGCACCTGGTGGCACACTGCTGCTGGGGGGCAGAGGTGGCCACGCAGTTGGTTGCGCTCTCTTGCGGCGCACCCGGGGTCGCGCGCTGCTGCTGCTGTGGCACACACCTGGTCACACAAGGCTGCTGTGACACACCGCTGGTCACGCGCTGCTGCTGCGGCACGCAGGTCGTCACGCACCGAGTTACACATGGCTGCTGTAGGATGCGCTGGATCACACTCTGCTGCTGCGGGACGCACTTGGTTGCATACTGCTGGCGCGGCACACACTTGGTCACACACTGCTGTTGGGAGAAGCTGGAGGACATGATCCGCTGCCGGGGGACGCAGGGGGTCACATATTGTGGGATGTACGGTGCCGAGTGCCAGGTAGGCACTGGCAGGTGTCTGGCAGCGTACATCGACGGGCACTTGATGGGGATGGGGTCCTGGTAGACCGGAGGGAGGCATTGGTGTAGGTAGCACGACATCTTGATGAGATTTTGCAGGACTGGAAAGACACGCGAGAAACAGACCCTTTAGACAGACAGCCGGCTGAGTTTCTGAGTCCTGCTGCTGCCTATGCTGCTGGACTGGCTCACTTCACAGGGTGCCAGAGACACGTCCCACCTATGCCACGGTCTCAAAACCACACCAGCAACAGCCAAGGACCCAACCCATCATTTGAAACTCTGAAACACAGCACTAAGCCAAGCAGTGGGGAAATTCAGAGACACGTATCACTAAACATCTCCCCAGACTACATCTCTGTCTCCATCACCTGGACCTTCACAGGGGAGAGCTGATCTTGGAGGTCAGCAGAGGAATAGCTGGTCTCAGAGCTGCCTTTCAATCATTAAAGCCAGTTTTCCCCTCCTGCTTTTCGTTGGCGACTGCCTCTGACCTCTTGCTCATGCATCAAGAAAAAAGCCCAAACGAGAAACAAGCTCTGAACCTCTGGCCACATCTGCCATAGCAGAAGAGGCAAAGAGCACCCAAGGCACCGCTGCTTGGTGATTCCATCACACCGCAGGCAGGCAAAAGTTCACAGTTCAGTCCCAGCATCACAAAGTTCATGCTCATTAGGGAACCAAAGCCAATTAAAGGGTAGCAATACCACAACTGAGCACAAGCCTGCTTACAGTTCTTCTAGCATTATGTTCTCTGATACACCAAATCCGTTCTGACTGTTGTTAGGCACCCCAAAAACAAACAACAATAGCAGCACCCCAATTACTGCTAACAACCTTTCCTCACATTTTTCAGAAGCATCTCTTGGACGCAGATGCCCAGCTATAGACACTGAGAGCACACTCCCACTTCAACACAGCAATTCAAACCAACTAGTTTTAAAGTCTTTTCCCATAGAGCATTTTTTATATGCAAAAAAAGCAGAAATAAATCTGCATTTCAGCAGCTACAGAAGCTCAGCACAAACCAGACTTACCCAGCTCCCTGGTGAGAACAGCTTTGTGATGTGACCAGTGAGCACTAATAGAAGGACAGCTTTTATATAGCTACTAAACATGCCTTGAAGGTATGAGGTACCCACGACATATCCTATTAGCTCCTATGCAAAAGCTGCTCTGTGTGCAACACTTGTAGTGACTAGCATCAGTGTACTCATCCCTGAGGATGAGTAGTTGAGTGTCAGCTCCCCATAGTAAGAGTAATTAACTTTTGTATAATCCTCCCTGGCATGGTAAGACTGAATGGCATTCGAAGAGGCAGCAGCAGCAGCATCCCCGGCCTCAGGGGTTTTGTAAGGCAGAACTGCACCCAAAAACATGCACTAGTGGCTTTCCAGAGGTCTCACTGGAAGTCAGGCTTCACAGTCCCTGGAAATGTCCTAGTGGTCCCCTGGAAATGGGACCATCCCATCACTCAGCTTCCTTCCACGCACAGATGGCATTGGTCTCATGCTGTGAGAGCTACACTGACAGCTCCATGTCCTTCTCTAATTGTAGTCCCTGGTTAGAGCTGGCAGCACTTCTCAGCTGCCTACAGTGGCCAGCCCCTGGGGTCAGGTGTGTGTGTGGGGGGGGGGGGGGGGGGGGTGCTGGACACAGGGTACTGGCTCCTTGGAGGAAAAATAGGAGCTTGTAGTAAAGTTCAAACCACCCCCTTGGGTGGGTGCAGTTCACATCCATAGAGACCTTCATTTTTAGCTCACGTAGTCCCAATGCTCCCCTGATCCCAACACCATCACTCGTTATCAGAGCAATGGGGATAAACGCTCCAGTGACTATCAGGTGAGCAGAAAAGATGAGCTACAGTCACGTTTGATTGCAGCTCTTGCACAACAGGCTCATCTGTCAAAGCTGTGACTGGCAGCACAGCCGGACACAAAAAGCACCGGGAGCAGATAAACTTCCTCCAGTCCTGCAGGTGACTTTCTCAGTGAGTCAACTTCTTATCACACACTGCGCCCAGATTAAAGAAACTAGTTAGAAAACTGGGAGATTAATTTTTTGAAGTCACTGAAGATCTAATTGATGTTTTCATGTGTACGTCGTCACATGAAATGTCTCCAAGAGGGACAATTTCTTCCTGCTGACTACAAGGAGAGATGAGGGGGACCAGCACAGAGGAGTGCTCAGCCCCACTGACATCTGACACTGGCTGAGATGAAACCCACCCCAAGAGGATCGGTTCCTGAGTATGTTTATTAAAAACAGTGGTTTCTTATGAACTAGAGAAATGACTCGACCCAGGTGGTTTTTGAGGCAAAGGAAAAGGTCCAGAAATAATTTTGTAATGAAACTGAATAATAAAGTTTAGGAACTCTTGGACAACTATGCCCCACACCCAGCAAGAATCACCGCGGGTGAAATGCTCCCTTTACCATAGGCTTCTCCAGCAAGAACAAATCTTGACCCTTGCTGGTCAGCACTGTGTGTGTTCATCTTTACCTGAACCACAAGAAATGTGGCTTTGTTGTGGCATCCCTTCTGCAGAAATTGGCTCTTTGATCCAAAGCCATAACACTTCATTGCTTTTTAGCTCCAAAGGCCGGAGGTGTGAGCCTCCCTGTTAGCCAAAGTGAGCAGTTCACATTCATAGTATTTTTATTCTAGTTCAGATGTAATACTGCCCCAACCTTCAAACAAATCCTTATTTCATCCTGTACTCGACAAAAACCCCATGCGTACCCACCTAACTTACTGAAAGCCCAGGTGAACTTTAATTTTTTGATCACAACAGTCACTTGTCTTTCATGTTAATACCCAGTAATGTCTGTAAAACTATGCATCTAAATCCTCTTAATCAGTACACTCCAAAACTACAGAATCAAAGACAGGAAGAAAGCCCCAGAAACCCAATTAGACTCCATTTTAACTTTGACAACATAGTAACTCTGGAGACTTTCACTATGTAACAATTTAATGAGTGTTTCACTTTCATGTGACAATGCCTGTTAAAAATGTGTGCTTCTGTTTGTCATCCTCTGTGCATATCCCGGTAATATCCACCTTCTCCCCACAAGCCATCCCTGCCCTGCTGTTCTCAGCTAAGAAAATCTCCTGTGCTTTTTTACCATGTCTGACTCAACCTGAAAAACAGCATGAGATGAAGGTGGGAAAAAGAGGTTAAAACAAGGCTGTGGCACTGAGAAGTACGAAGAGGGAAGCAGAAAAACATCCTGAAGGAGATACCAGGTGAGACATTAGGGACTCCACCACCTTCCCTTTAATAAGTCAGGAATGCAAAGGAGCACCGTCACAGTGCAGCAATTTTGGAGCATGAGCCAGTGCACCAGGAATGCAAAGCTCCTTGCCTGCTCCAAATAAAGAAATCTGGCAGAAGAACGAGCCAGTCAAAAAAAAAGATAGAAGAAACACATGGCACATGGAAAATAAGGAGGTGATTGGTGACAGCCAACATGGCTTCACTAAGGGCAAATTGTGACACAATTTTGGTGTCCTTCTACAATGGGGTTACAGCATTGGTGAATAAGAACAACTGATGTCATCTACCTGGACTTGTGCAAAGCATTTGGCAACGTCTCACACAACATCCTTGTCTCTAAATTGGACAGACATGGATTTGACAGATGGAGCACCTGGTGGATAAAGAATTTGTTGGATGGTCGCACTCAAAGAGTGGCAGTCAACAGCTCGATGTCCAAGTGGAGAGCAGTGATGAGTGGTGTTCCTCAAGGGTCAGTGTTGGGCCTGGCCCTGTTTAACACCTTTTTGTTGGTGACATAGACAATGGGATCAAGTGTACCCTCAACAAGTTCATCAACAACTCTGAGCTGTGTGGTGCAGTGACACGCTGGAGGGCAGGGATGGCATCCAGAGGGACCTGTCCAGGCTCGAGAGGTTGGCCTGTGCAAACCTCATGGAGTTCAACAAGGCCAGGGGCAAGGTCCTGCCCATGGTTCAGGGAAATCCCCAGCACAAATCCAAGCTGGGCGAAGAGTGGATGGAGAGCGGACCTGCAGAGAGGGACTTGGGGCTGTTGGTGGGTGGAAAACTGCCTGTGAGCCAGCACCATGCACTCACAGCCCCGAACCCACCCGTGCCCTGGGCTGCAGCCAGAGCAGGGGGGGCAGCAGGGCCAGGGAGGGGATTCTCCCCCTCTGCTCCGCTCTGGGGAGACTCCTCTGCAGTGCTGGGGCCAGCTCGGGGGCCCCCAACAGCAGAAGGACACGGAGCTGCTCGAGCGGGGCCAGAGGAGGCCACGAAGATGCTGGGGGGGCTGGAGCAGCTCCCCTGGGAGGCCAGGCTGAGAGAGTTGGGGGGGGTCAGCCTGGAGAAGAGAAGGCTCCGGGGGGACCTTCGAGCAGCCTCCCAGGGCTTAAAGGGGGGACAGGAAAGGTGGGGAGGGAGTCTTTACAAGGGCATGTAGTGATAGGACGAGGGGTAATGGCGTTAAACTGAAAAAGGATAGATGTAGATTAGGTATAAGGAGGAAATTCTTTACTGTGAGGGTGGTAAGGCACTGGCACAGGGTGCCCAGAGAAGCTGTGGCTGCCCCCTCCCTGGAAGGGTTCAAGGCCAGGTTGGATGGGGCTTTGAGCAACCTGGTCTAGTGGAAGATGTACCTGCCCATGGCAGGGCGGTTGGAACTGGATAATCTTTAAGGTCCCTTCCAAGCCAAACCATTCTATGATTCTATGAAACAAGGTAAATTAGCTAGGTGTGATCTGGGATATTGGTTTGAAACTTCAAGTAGTATAAAATTCACCTTGTTCCATTAACAGTAACAAAAAAAAAAATACCAATAAACCAGGCAAAGAGCTGTAAAGCAGGAGGGAGTGAAAGCAGGGAGCTGTTAATCTTTAAAACTAGTGCATAGTGAAGAACACTACATGTGTTAAGCTACAATAGCAAAGCCAAGGAAGAGAGTCTTCCCTTGAAGAAATAGATCTGCCTTAGACAAGTACCTGCATGGGTCTGGGATGGTCATTTCCTCCAGTGTCTTCAAGACACAGCCATTTCCTCCAGCCTTGCCAAGGAACAGTAATGTCCTCCAGTCTCACGAAGGCATGGACATTTCCTCCAGCCTCACCAAGTCATGATCATTTCCTTCAGCTTCACCAAAACACAGACCTTTCCTCCAGCCTCACAAAGGCATGGCCATTTCCTCTGGCCTCACCAAGGCATGGCTATGTCCTCCAAACTCCCAGGGCATGGACATTTCCTTCAAGCTGTACAAACCACTAGAGCGCAGCATTCACACACGCAACCACCTCCTGCAACAGCCTTGCAGAACCAGATGCTGGCAGCTGGGAAACTGCCTTCAGATGCCCTCTCTCTCCAGGAAAATAGTTTAAATTGGCAGCCTGTGAACTAGACCCAGCCCAATGCCTTTGTGTCATAGGACCCTAATGTCTGAATACTCCTTTATCGTACCATGGCATGATGTTAAATCTGAGTCAGCAACGATCCCTGCAGCCCAACCACAGCCGGTAAAAGCCAGAGTGCCTTATTCCAGCTGCTCACAAGTACATGTGCTTCTGGGCATTGAGAACACACACTGAAATGGTAGCTGGGCTGCACGTCGGGTTCTTCACAGGAGAGTGAGTCTGCTCAGTTGATCGCTGCAGGGCAGTAAGATGCGTGCAGGGAGGGGAGGGTAGAGAATAAAGGAAACACAGGAGAATAAGCAGAGATTGCATTTTTATTGTATCAGACTTGTAATTAGAAAGCAGCATACAGGCTGTAGATAATACAACTTAACATATTATTAGCCCAGCAAGCAGTAAATTCACAGTCTCACTATTTCAGTGATTTAATAGCACTGAAGGCAAAATACTAACCCCATCATGCATTAGAATGAAATGCTCCTCATTTGGACTCCTTCTTGCTTCATTTTAAAAGTGTTTTATTACTTAATGAACTCTTGCTGTTCTGCAATTAGTAGCCCCACACACCTCTTTGTTCTGGTTGCTACCAGGCTCGATGGAGGTTAGTCTCTGCAGAAAATCTGACTACATGATTTTAATAGCCCTGATGACTTCTCAA